GAAGTTCTATAGAAGTTCTTCTATACATAGAGCTCTTAATAGCTCTTTTTAGCTTAGTACTAGTATCTTTCTACTACTAACTAGATCTGCTAGTAGTGTTATATAGCGCTAAGAGGTAAGTAATTAATTAGTACGTTAATAGATTCTTAAGGTAAGCAACTAGGCTCTTATAGCTCTAATTCTTAGTATTAGCTATTAGTAAACGCTTCTTAACAAGACTACTTAGTTTAGCTAGATATTATACCGCCGTCTCTAGCTAAAGAGATATTAACCTTTAGATAATATAAGAGCTAAGTTCGCGGTCTCTACTACTATAAGCGTTCTAGAACACCTAGCTAGGTAAGTTAGCTATAGGTAGTACTATCTCTACAAGCTATAAGAATAGAGTGCTAGCAGAGTAGGTTAGATTAAATTTAGCTATTTAAAGGTAAGAAGTAGAGAAAAGGCTCTAAGAGGCTCTATATATAGAGGTGCTAAGCGCTAAGGCGCTAGGCTAAGTTACGTAATAAGATTACGTAACTTAAGATTATATAACTCTAGGTAAATCTCTAAACTAGACTATTATAAAGATTAAATATAGCCTAGACTATAATATCTACTCTCTAGAATAAATAAGTAAAATAATAGCTAAGAATACTATAAAAAAAGTTAAGAATACTAATACTAGACTATAGAACTCTTAATAGATAGATCTACTACTAAAACTAATTATTTACTTTACCTAATAATAAGTTATAAACCTAAAATCTCTACTAAACTTACTCTACTAGCTTTACTAAATACTCTAGCTAAGTTAAAACTATTAATCTAGTTATAAGAGACTACTAGTAGCCTAGAGTTACTAGAGACGTTAAGAAATACGTTAGAGCTTATAAGCTATATACGTGTGTTAAGAGCTTATATCTTACTTTTTAAGGCTTTTTTTAACTATTACTAGTACTATTTTATATCTAGTTAAATATATCTATTAACTATATTACTCTATTACTATTATATAAGAAGAATAGGTAAATATATAAGTACCTGCTAGTAGTTATCTACTAACGTACTTTACTATTAAACTAGTTACCCTATCGAACAACCTACTATTTCTTGGCAACGAAAATTAACGAAAATTAACTCGTTTTTCTTAAATAACTAAGCGAAACCTTAATATTTTTCTATAAAATTTTATATATATATTTACTATAGTATATTACACTCTCTATTAAAGTTATACTAAGATGTATTACGTAATTAAAAAGCTATACGTATTTAGGTAACTTTTAAGAAAAATATAGTTTACTTCTAGTTAGTACTATTATATCTCTATAATAATATATAAAACTAATATTATATAGTATTTATAACTTAATAAAGATTTCTAGAAAACTTTTATAGCGCTAGCTCTTCTAAGTGTAGCGTAATAAGAGATAGAAGTTAGAAAAATTTCTTCTTAGAGCTTTCTTCTTCTAACTATATATATATATAGTTAATATAGCTCTATAAACTTATTATTTTATATATTATAGTTAGTTTTAACTATATAGAGCTTATTAACTAATAATATACTAGCTTTAAGTAGTTATTTAAAAGTAAAGTCTTTTTAGTAGTATAGTATAGAAAGATAGAAAGATACTAAAACTATCTTAAAATTATTACTTCTAAATATATAGCAGGCTTATACTATATATAATCTTATAATATATAACTTTATATAGCTAGATTATTTATATATATCTATAGTTAGAAAAGAAAACTCTAGAAAGACTTCTTATAAACTTCTATCTCTTATTACGCTATACCTAGAAGGGCTAGCGCTATAGAAGTTTTCTAGAAACCTTTATTAAGTTATAGATACTATATACTATAAGTTTAATAGATTATTATAGAGATATAATAGTACTAACTAGAAGTAAACTAGATTTTTCTTAAAAGTTACCTAAATACGTATAGCTTTTTAATTACGTAATATATTCTAGTATAACTTTAGTTTAGAGTGTAATATACTATTAAAAATATATATCTAAATTTTTATAGAAAAATATTAAGGTTTCGCTTAGTTATTTAAGAAAAACGAGTTGATTTTCGTTGATTTTCGTTGCCAAGAAATCGTGGGTTGTTCGATGGGGTGACTGGTTCGATAGTAAAGTACGTTATCTTACTAAAATACGCTATCTTATTCTAGTCTCTTTACTATCTATAGAGAAATTAGTAGATACTTTTATAAGCTATATATACTATTTATATAGTACGCTAAATAATATAGTTTTAGACTAAAGTATATAGTTTATTTCTAAATTCTAGTACTATCTCTTAGAGAGGCTAGGTATTAAGCTAAAATACTTATTATTCTTCTATCTAGAGACTAATAGCTAAATAGAAAGAGTTAATAGTAGTATTAAATAATACCTCTACGCGTTTATAAACTTCTACTAAGATAACTAGGTCTAATAGCTACCTCTTACTAAATTTATAATAAATAATATAGTATTAGAGACTATAGACGTATTTCTATTCTTTATAAACTATAGCTATAATCTCTAATTAGGTTTAGAGCTTTTATAACTATATCTACTAAACTTATCTCTAACGTAGAAATAGTAGTTCTACTATACTAATACTATTATAAACTACTTTAAGTATATACTTACCTAACTAAAAGCTCTTATATAGTAGTCTATTAACTAGTATAAGTAATATACTAATAATTACTAAAAAGACGCGCTATACTATAAGAAAGGTTAGAAGGTCTACGTTAATATATATAATATAAAAACTAACTATCTAATAAAGAAAGAGAATAATAAGATAGTAGAACTATATAAAGTTAAAAAAGTCTATCTACGCGCTTATCTACTAGACCTACTACTATCTATAAAAATCTTTCTAGTATTTTATTACTTACTTCTATAACTCTATTATAATATTAAGAGCCTTCTAGAATAAGATAAAATTAATAAAGTAGAGTTACACTACCTATATAAAAGAGTTCTAAAATAAGAGAATAAATTAGATAAAGTAACTAAGTAATAGAAATTTAATAAGCTACTTAATAGCTATATTAACTATAGAGATTTATAATATCTTATTAAATAGAGATACTATAAGCTTTTCTAGCAACTAGTAATAGATTTTAGAGGCTAAGATAAAGTAATTCTAGCTTTTTATAGTATATACCTAGAAAAGCTAGAACTACTAATATAGATAAGAAAGTTAACTAAGCTCTAATAAAGATAGAGAGATTTTTTTTTTTTTTTTTTTTAGAGTTAGGCTATTTAGAATAAATAGTAAAGTAGAAGAGAGATACTATTATAGTACTAATATAGGTTTAGGTTTAGGTATTACTTATATAATAGTAGCTAGTATCTTAGTATCTATATAGATATTTTCTATAGTCTACTAAGCTTTCTACTTCTTATAGTATAATATATTATATTACTATATTACTTACTCTATAATAGTAGTCTAGATTATTTATTATAGAAGTAAATTATTTCTACTATAGAGCTAGTAAGTTAGTATAAGAATCTTCTTAAAGAGATTTATATAAAGTAGAATATCTTATATAAAGAAACCTAGAGCTTTTAAAAAGTAAGTTAAGTAATAATAACGTAGAGACTATTATATCTCTATAATAATTTGTTAAACTTATAGTATATAATATCTATAATATAATAAAGGTCTCTAGAAAACTTTTATAGCGCTAGCTCTTCTAGGTATAGCGTAATAAGAGATAAAAGTTAGAAAGATTTCTTTTTAGAGTTTTCTTCTCTAACTATAGATATATATAAATAATCTAGCTATATAAAGTTATATATTATAAGATTATATATACTATAAGCCTTCTATATATTTAGAAGTAATAATTTTAAGATAGTCTTAGTATATTTCTCTTTATTAATACTATACTACTAAAAAGGCTTTACTTTTAAATAACTACTTAAAGCTACTATATTATTAGATTATAAGCTCTATATAGTTAAAGCCTACTATAATTTATATAATAATAAGTTTATATAGCTAGATTAACTATATATATATATAGTTAAAAAGAAAACTCTAAAGAAGATATTTTTCTAACTTCTATCTCTTATTATGCTATATCTAGAAGAGCTAGCTCTATAAAAGTTTTCTAGAAGTCTTTATTAGATTATATATTATATATTCTACAAGTTTTATAGATTATTATAGAGATATAATAAGTACTTACTAGAAGAAAACTAGATTTTTTCTAAAAGTTAGTTAAATACGTATAGCTTTTTAATTACGTAATATATCTTAGTGTAACTTTACTATAAGGTATAATATACTATAAAGAATATATACATAAATATTTATAGAAAAATCTTAAGGGTTTACTTAGTTATTTAAGAAAAACGAGTTAATTTTCGTTAATTTTCGTTGCTAAGAAATCGTGAGGCTTTTAATAATATAAGGCTTTCGATAATAAAGTACGTTATATTAAAATAGCGTTCTTTGTTATAATAATAATAAGGTTGTTAGTTATTAGTTATTAGATGTTGTTACTAAGTTTCTCTAGCTACTATGGCTTTACCTCTCTTTCGCTTTTCTTGGCAACCTGGTTAAAACAAACACCACCTAATAACTATTTCCGCTCTTAGCTCATATCCTCTCCGTCTCTCTATGTGACGAAATTCAGTTGGGACATGAAGCGAGCGCTTTCCTGCCCTAACATCGAGCAGATCTACAGCCATCCTGCGTTCCCGAAACGCCTTAAACCAACCCCCTCAGACGGCGGCCGTTTCTGCCCACCCAATCCAATATTACAATCCTCGCGAACGCTTTCCTCACAGTCATCGGCACCCCAGGACTTGACGCAATCTATTGAACAGTGGGCAAGCAATTGCGATAGCTGCAGCGAGGCGGAGATGGCTCCCCCAGGCGCCACGTGTCACCTCGAACGACAGCGGTCAGAGGAGAGCATCGAAGCTGAGTTACTGGCGACAGCGGTCTCAGAGCCCCAGCAAGAAATCAAGTCCCCAATATCGATCAAGGAACATGGCTGACGCGAGCGTCTTTGTGGACCATTCCCCCAAGCCTCCCCAGACGTGGAGGATCAACTCAAGCACATATTCGAAGTATCGATGCTGGAAGACATTGGGAAGGCCTCTTTTGGCCCGGATCTGTTCGGCAGGTCGGCAGTCCATAACGGAGTTGGCGAGCTCGCGGAGAGGTACTGTCACAAATCAAGGCAGATGGCCAAGGACTGTGCTGGAGAGGGTCAGTGGAAGAGTTGGCTGCTGACCGGCCTCGTGGAACCGATGCAAGAGCTGTGGCCAGACATTGTCAAGCTGAGTGCATCCGAGAAGCGCAGGTTCATTGGTTTCGCTTTCGTGACATGGCTAATCTTGCCGTAGCATGGATATCCGAACTTAGACCGACCCCGCCATCCTTTGAAGATATACTTGGCTCCGTTCCGCCTCTTCCAATTCGTCCCGAATCCCGTATACCCACAGCTGAGCCTCCGTTCCCCCCTCCACTCGACCCCGTCCTTCCACAGACGCCAATCCTCAACAGGATGCTCTGCCATTGTTCATCATCTAGGGCAGAAACGGATTGTGCAATTATATATCCATTGACTACACAGCTTGCCGGGCATCCAGTGAAGATATACGTTGATACTGATATCAGCCTGTGACGAAACTCATGAAAGAATGGTCCTCTCTAGCTGGAGCTTACCGTACTTGGGTAGCCACTTGTGCAAGAGGGCCTTGCTTATTGCGTCCATATTGGGCTTCAATGAAGGCGCAAGATCGTCGATGGGAGATATGCACTGACATAATGAGATTGTGTCTAGTCTCTTAGGCATTATTGAAAACTCCGGTGGGGTCCACACAGCCGCTAAAGGGCGTTGGAGGAGCAACACTGTCGAGTCCCGCATGTGATATATATTAGGAACCGTTGGCTGGTCGCTACGACATAGCAAAAGATGGTCCAAGCAGCCAGCTCGTGCACCACGCACTGTATCTTTGATGAGAAGACGATCGGTCAGTAGCCACCGTCAGACCACCGAGTGTTAATCGTGACGCATGGACCCTTACCTTTGATGATGTGCGCAACATGCCACAAAATGACGCGCAGACAACGTCCCAAGCGTGCTGCAGCAGTGACGGCTTCAGATGTGCTTTCGACGCTCTAGGTTACGACGCCCTTTAGAGTGAATCTAAGGCAGTCGTTAATCCTAATAAGGGAGAAATGGCACCCCGCGATGAAGCCAATCAAGGAGCTGCCGTCGAATCCGGGATTAAGAACGGACAACGGGACGCGAAGCTGATGTAAATCTAAGCCCAGAGGAAGCATCGATCATCGAGGCCGTTAGCAAACGTAGGACGGGTTGCTTCACGATTCCGGGTATGAAGAAGCGGAAAAACGCGACAGAAAACTCAAACACACAAAAACGAGCGGAAAACGACGCCAGTTCCCAGCACCAATAAACTCATGACAACGACTGATGCTACAGCTGAAGGACAAGTTAGCATTTCCGAGGTTGAGGCACAGCGCTGCTTCTTGATGCCACCTTTTTGGAGAGGCGCGTCGCAGCTCTTCGCGCAACCACCTACTATGTCCTTGCTGGAGAGCGTTCCTACGATACAGGCATACCATCCGGTAACGACTCGAGAAGGCAGCTGCCTAGCCCTATGCGCATGCAACCATCAGTGCAATCCTCAAGGACCTCCCTAGTCTTTGGTTAATTATACTCGGTCGTAACTAACGCGGATAGGACGTATGTTGCATCAATTTAGGTAGCAACTGGCAAGGGTATTTCGTTGCACGCTCGATCGCTAGCGATTACACGCCGGGGGTGCGATAGCTGTCCGCTCTCTATATCTGGAACCAACGGAATTTGCCCACTTCCCGTGCCAAGGCCTATGCCCCAGTCGCGCGCGCTTAACCACTGGTGTCAAACAGGGCAGTATCCTTGGTGGTCGGTATCTCCAAGTGCTTTGTGCTTCAGAATAAGGCGAGGGACCCTTAGTGCGTAAGCCGGGCAATGGATTGACCGAGCAGGGTGGATATAAAAGAGATGTCAATGAACAGAGACATTAGGCAAACCAACAACCTGCAAAACCACGAATCTTCAAACTCCTACATCTCCGACCGGTGGGTAAGGTCATCATGTATGATACTTCTCCGATATGCTCATTAATCATGCCAGAGAAAGAACATTGACGAATTCGCCGAGAAAACATCTACGAATGGAAAAGTGCGGATTATGTGGTGGGTCCGGCATGAACAGGGAGTACGCCTGTGGTAATTGCCAGGGCTCCGGATATAAGCCAGAGAAGAAATGAGGGTAAGAACATGCCTACTCGTTCCTCTACTGCGCTAACAAATTACTAGATGCAGCTCACGTTACATAAACCGCCGAACGGCCGACGGTGCTTTATGCGACGAAGTCGAACTCGCGCAATACCTTGCTACTAGTTTTCCTTGACACACTCGTTTTTCAGACACTCCTCAGTAATCACAATATATAACTTTCCCGGGATACATCGTGAAAATTCTGCATGCTTGTTCGTGAATGTGAATGTGCCAATCCATTCCCGTGCCTCGAAGGTGCCTTACATTAATATTATACAGATAATCTTACAGACTTGTTATCCTTAGCCTTATGGGTCATGATCCAACCAACCTCAACACAAACTCGTACACCCCCAGAGTGATTACTGATGATGGAATAGCTCGCACAATGTGCGGTGTTAGGCCGCCGTACAGGCCTGCTAAACCTTTCTGTCTACTAATTAACCAGAAACATTGCAAGAGGCCAACGTACTTCGGAAGCCTATTCTTCTTTAGCGCTTGTCGTAGTCTTGTCCTAACTACCTGAAGACACGTTAGTAAAGGATATAATGAACGGAAGGGATTATGCCTCGTGAGGGTAGGTGATCAAAACTGCAGCTAGCTTCGCTGATCCCGCAGCTCCACTAGTGCTAATCCAACTTGTGAGTTCATCCCAAGTTGTGCTATTCCGCGTATCGATTCCCCTTAGAGCTCTACTATATAATAGTTTGAGTCTCTCATAAAGGACTAGGTGCAACGCCGTCTCAACTGTGCCCAGATAGCTTGCACTCAAGCCCCGATATAGTCCTCTAATACCCTCCTGTCGCAGAACCTGTCGGATACAGTCGAGGCTGTTCTTATACCGTCGAGCCGTAACACCAGCTTGCGTCCGCGATTTATCGAGCTGCAGCCTTGTTTTGACGAGCCAAATAGGATTTGTCGCAGTCGCAGTCGCGATACCCGCTGCAACAGCAGCTTGTGCATGAACTGTTGCCGCATCCTCCCCACAGTTCAGCATATGTGCTCCAAGCCGTTTGCAGTTACCATACACGTAAAACTTGATGGCGGTAGCAGGAACCACGCCTGCTAGACTTGGCCCAAGACCGCGAAAGAAGCCGCGCCAGCCTTCAGTATAGTGGATGGAATTGACGATCTGGATAGTCTCGCGAAGGTGGTGTAACGAGGCGCCGAGGATATGAGTGGATGCAGGCTTGAACGGAGGGTAGATTGCTTGGATGGGACGGGAGAGGTGGTAGTAATCGGATTGAAGTCGCGTTCTCAAAACATCAAGTGGAGAAGTTAGAATGGCAGTGGCCAACCCTCCGCTCCTATAGAGACAGATTAGTGTTTCGCAGAGATAGGTCAAACGGGTCGGACTCACGCGCCGGCAAGCAGATGTGCCGAAGACCGCAGTGGAGGTTGTTCCGATTTTCCAGTCCTACTGTCAGGTAGCAGTGGTACAGTCTTGAAGCTGTGAGGTGCTGAGTCTTCTTGCATTGTGGTTTCCAGTTCGGGCAGAGAAGAGGCTCTGAACCCGATTGAATTTCGGCGCGCTGACTTTTCTCCGCTACGGAGAATCCTAAGGCCGGCGCGGCGCCAAGGATTTGCCGTCGCGCCTAAGTGCGCGTCTGTTAGTGCGGTGGCTCGCGCTATGCACTCATCCATGGGAGGAGGGAGCATGCAGGAAGTGAATTGCTAGCTGAACAGGCCTCAGAATTATAATTCCTCTACCTCACAACCGCAGAACTAAACAAGAGTCGTCACCAGCTCGAGCACCGCAGCCGCGTTTACCGTTGCCTGCCTGTCTACAACAAAACCTGTCTGTACCGTCTTTCCTCTTTGGCATTCCTTTAGTGGTATCTTGAAAGCAGCCAGTATACCCGGGTTGGACATGTGCACAGGATATCGAACCACGTACTTGTATGTTGGGGGTAGCTGCAAATTCGGAGTAAACGACAAGAGAGAAGATGGATCGACATCCCTCGACGACTCAAACCGCTTGTCTTTGCACGCAATTCTCGTGGCAAACCCGGGATTGAGCTGGTGTCGGATGATTATGGGACGGGATGATGAGCGAGCGCATTGGGTGTAAGAGCTAGACTGGGCGACATTGTCTGCAACGCGGATTTCAGAGGATGCTGCTAGATCTAACGGCGGCCGCGTCGACCTGTTAGCTACGGTGTTGTCGCGTTGCCTTCTAACGCAGCATTCTCTATATAGCCCTAATTAGACAAGACGTTATTTTTCCTTCCGCCGAGAACCCAGTTGGACTCCATTGTTCTTGCTGTCCGTCCGCCGTGGCGAGCGACAACTCACACCGTATGCGCATACTGGAGGGGTCGAAGTCGCTTGCGTTATGGCGCCAGTGGGAATAGATTAGGGTAGCGGTTTGGGGCAGACGAGGCGCGCAGGGCTCGGCTGGCCAGTCGGCGAGCTATTCGCGGATGGCGGTGGAGCTGAACAGGGGAGCGTGCGGCCACTAGATGCTGTTAGACTCGCAGCTGGGTCAGGTCCTGGGCATGCAGAGCGATGTTCTTCGAAAATGTTGCATTGCCGTCTACAGATTGCTAGTCGCGGTGCCTATGCTATGGCAATCCCGCTCGTGTCCAGATGCTTTGTCTTGTTTCCTTGTTGCTGGTAGCCATCTCATGTGATGCGTTGGCGTTTCGGACGGCAAACCGGACGAGAGGTTGGAGACACTGTTTCAGCAGGCGCATGCTCTCGCTTTGCTTCGAGGAGACAGGATTGGCTGGCGATGAATGCTGTTGGGGAGACACGGAGTAGGGAGGTGGGTGGAGAGGACGGCGTTGTCATCGCCGTCGTAGTCGGGCGGCGAGAAGTGGAGGTGGAGAGTCGTGGGGATAGGGCGCTGGCGGGGTGCGGGCTTGCGCGGAAGGGCTTCTCGTCCGTCGACGGAGGCGTCAACGGCGGGTCCGCCAAGCTAGAAGGCAGTGTGATATATTAATGCGCCGTTGGAGGAGTCTACGACATAGGCATAGCCGTAAGTTGTGCTGCATTGCAAAGGTTGCTCGTAGCTGTCGCGCAGACCGATCGTGGATTTACAAGACTTGTGCGCTCTGGTTGACTCAGCAACCGCGCCACATATCTGCCCGGTGCCGGACGTATGACGTGCCTGTGGCTGATGCTGCGCCGAGGACGAACGCTTAACACCAAGCCAAAACAAGTCGCCGCTCCCACACCACCTGCGCCGGGCCTGATTTAGCTCCCGTGGGTCCTGTTCCGATTCCCGCTGTGGGGCCTTTTTTGGTCCCCTAGATGGGACCCTAGCCCAGATCTGCGCACCTCCGAGGCGACCGTGCTGGAGCTCGCTACGCTAACACCGCAAGTCAACACCACCATGTCCCGATCCCTCTTCACGTGTACTAATAAAAGTGCTCCAGACCTCCTTATATCCCCCACCCGCCAACATAAAACATAACAAGATAACGATAAGAGACAAAGCCTATCGCAGTACTCTACAATGCGAAACTCAATATCGCGAACCATGTTGTAATATCTGCACTTGCCTTAAACCCTATCTTGTAGTCTTTGACATTCCGCGTACGCACCCTGTAGCACCTCTCTATCTCCTAATACTCTACTGGCGTCCCTTCCACCTGCTCATGCACATGGAAGACTAGGAGTGAAAGGCTTCATTTTCCTGTGTTAAAGGTGCGCCCTAGCGATAGCGTGTCACGGCTCTAATCATGCAAGTAGAGTAACGAAGAGAACTAAGCGTCGTCTATGTTAGAATGCTAAAAGATAGGAGAGCGTAGCAAAGGGAGAAGTTTTAGAGAGGGGAAAATAGAAGCTAAATACTTTAATAATAGCTATAACATTAAGCTTTAACTCTTAGGTCTAACAAATAGCTTTCTTGCAAGGTACTCTTAAGGTCTTTAGCTACCTAGCTATCTATATTACTATATATCTAGAAGAACGCTGTTATACGCTATTACCCGTTCTCTAGAGCGCTAAAGCTTTGTTAACAAAGAAGAAGCTAAGAGCTAGCCGCTGTAATAGAGAAGGCACGTACTACTCTCTAAAAGACGTAAAAAGAAGACGTAAAAAGAACTCTACTCTATCTAGGAGTTAAACCTACGAAGATAGTAACAACGACTAAATTATAGCTAAAAAGAATGCGAAAAAGAAGAAGTACTCTAGAGGCGGATTATAACTTAGTTACGGGAGCTATTACCTAAGTTTAAGAAAGAGAGAAAGAAAGAAAAGAGAAATACGTACCTTAAGAGTGCCTAAAGGCGAAGAAGAGCTTAATTATTTTAATTATATACTAGAAATAAATTAGAGTAGTTCTTTATTAAATAGTGCGAAACCTTTAGGTATCTTTAGTATCTCTATTAGACGTACTCGCGCTAGTAGCAAGTTTAGCAACCTAGATATAGAGAAGTACTCTACTCTTACTATTTCTATAGGCGGTAAGCTTCTAGCGCGGAATATAGAGACAGTGTACTAGAAGTATAACAAGACGCCTACCTTGTGTATTCTAGTAGGTAGTAAGGTTACAGGCCGTAAAATTAGCGTTAAGGTTAAGAGCGAGGTAGGTAAAGACAACAACTAATACTTCTATAAAGAGCAGACGCGCACTCTCTTAGTTAGTAGCAGTTTCTAGACTAGAATAGAGAATAGTTAAACGTTGCGCATGTTAGCACTATTAGCTTTAGCGTTAGAAATCGCGTTCTAGACGAGAACTACGCGTTATTGTAGGCTAACGCTTTAAACTTTCTAGACTAGAACCTTACGCCGTCGTAGACAAATAACTTTAGCACTATTAGCCTTCTTGTTAGAAATTAGAAGCGACAATGCTTACTTTAGAAACTATAAGCGCGCGTTAGCATTATTGCAAGTTAAGTATATTTCTACCTTTAGCCTTAGCGTTAGAAATCGTGCCTCTAAATTAAGATCTAGTACTAGTATTACAGCGTCTTATGCCTTAGAGCCGCAAAACTAACTTAGAGAAGAGAAAGAAGAAGTAGCTAGCTATAATCCTTAAATACTTCGTGCTCTAGGCAGACAAGGTAAAGTAAGTATAAAGTAGATGCGGATATAGATATAGATATAGAATAGAATAAAGTTTTACGCGCTACTATAAACGTAGGCCTAGAGCTTAAGCACTTATTTACGTCTGTTCGTTAATAAGCTACCTAAACTTTACCTTTAATTAAAAGTAACTAGCTAAGAAATATAGCGCTACTAAGTAAGAAGATCTATTCTACGCTAATACTATACCGCGAGAAAGGTAGGTAAAGTTCTTAAAGAGGCTGTAAGGCTTACGTATAAAGACTTACAGTTATACTATATACTAATAAATTAGATTAAATAAGAATAGATTAATTGCATAGAAATTCTAGTAAATATATTATATAAGCGAAGAGGTACTTTTGCATTAAAGAGAAAATAGTAAAAGAGTGTTATAACTAATATACTAGAACAAGACTAGTAAATATTTATGTAAACGATAGCAAGTAAAAGGTAAGTAGTAGAATAAAAGAAGGTTCTTATAAAGGTAAGATAGGTATCTTATAGTTTATTAGAAAGCTCTTTATTAGAGAGCTTAGATAAAACAGGGTATATTAGAGAGGAAAATTAATAAAGAGAGAACTAAGAGTTAAAAGAAAGGTATTATAGCCTTACATGTAAATAGTATAAGTAGATACTAATAACCTATCTATACTTAATTTAAGTATATTATAAGCCCTTACGTATAATAATATTCTAGTAAAGCGTAGTAGTACTATTAATTTAGACGGCTTAATAAAGCCTTTAAACCTATCTTCTTTTTAGTTACGCTTATAAACTATCGCGAAATAGATTAAGCTAGTCGCTTAATCTTCTATATATGCGGGGCTGTACAAGGTAGTAGATCTCTACTAGTATAGGTATTAATCGTCTTATTATTAGTACTAGCGGTAGCAGTAGAATAAACCTTCTAGAAGTAGTTAAAGAAGAAACTAGAGGTAATACTATTACCTAAAAGAGAAGACTGTTAGATAGGTATTAGCTTAGATAGTAAACAAGAGACAAAATATAAGCTTACTTTAAATACTATTTATATGTCTATAGTATTACTTACGTTACTCTTCTCTAGCATAACACCACACTCTATACAAATAATAAAAATAGTTTATAGAGTAGTATTAGTAGTATTACGTATCTCGCGTTTAGTAATTACGCAAGTAGTATGTATCTCCGCTTTTACTTATGCCTTACAACCTCTTTTAGCTTTGTAGCATTTACTCTAGTATTAGAATAGTCTAGCTAAGTGTCTCTAAGATGCCTACTAGCTTTAAGATCTTACCTAGCTTTATATCTATTTTGCGTAGCTTATTCTTACGCATAACGAAAGCCTTTGTTAATATTAAGCCTAGCTTAGCAAAGCCTGCTAACTGCGACTACTTTAATATATTCTTTATAGCCTTCTACTAACTTTATTATTACGCTTAGCTACCTCCCGCGCGTAAGCTAGCTAGAGGCGGCTATAG